TGCTAGGATTGTGGAGCAGTTTTCTTTATGGAGGAAGAAGGAGTACAGTTGCTCGTATCCCATGATTGAGATGAGGGATTGTGTCAAGGTTGCAGAAAAATACAGTGACGTCGATTCCAATAAGTAGAGCGAGACTACAAGCATTCTCAAATTTTCATCGAATCTTGAGATAGCATTTGACTTGTCTGTCCAAAGCACCAAGTGAATAGAGTTTGTGTTGAGTTCAACTTAGAGTTGGCCATTGTTCTTGTTAAATGAGAACCTTTGCTGCGATGTTGGTTCCATACTTTAAATCTTCTGAGTGTTGTGACTACGGCAACAATTTTATAGATTTGCCTTTCCAGAGTGGTAATGTTATCGCGTTTCGTCTCCTTTTGCTGGTCGTTCCTCTCTGCACCTTGTTAGTGAGTTCAGTTTTAGTTGTGATTGTTTTTAATTGTTATCGCAAAAGCGTTTTTTAGTTTCAGTTTTATTATTGAGTTGCTCACCTTATAGCTACTCCTGAAGGATTGTGTCGTGAGCGTGGTTTTAGCGCAGGGGATGAGGCCGGCTATAGAGCAAGCTCAGGACGTCATTAACTGATGAGTTAGGCCAGTTGTGGGAGTATATTTTTAACGTTTTTTTGAGCAGTGTCTTTTTTCTTGTACAACTTTTCCTTCTCTTTTTTTTCATCAGGTGTTTCTCTCTTCTGTTCTTTCTTGTGTACTTTTCTCAAAAAACTATTGTTATTGTTTGTGTGGTTCTTTTGGTGTTTTTGTGTTCCAAATTGTTTTAATAAATAAATAAAACGAACAACAAAAGAATAATTATCCAGTTTTAGTCTGGGTTTTATCAAGTTAGTGTGCCGTGAGACTTTCACAAACATGCGGTTAGTTTTTTGGCATTTATAAGCTGCGTTGATTAGCTTAAGCATACCTCCAACCGGAATAAAGGTTTGAAAACATGTGAAAGCAAGTTAAAGTTGTTGTCAGTTAGACTGGAAAACTAGAAACTCATTTGTTCAATGATTCTTTGTGGCAAATTAAGTGAACTGTGGGTGAGTAAAGATAAGTTTTGAAATTTATAAAAGAATCTCACGTAAAATGTTAGTTTCCTGTAATTTAATTTCATTTTATTTACTACACGAATCTGAATTTTACTGCAGAGTTATTAATCAACTGCTTTTGAGGAACTAAATTTGGCTGGAAGAGTTTGCCAAATGTGGGCGAGTGAAATTAAAAAAAAAATAAAAATATAAATGGGAACACATGAAAAAAGTTAGTAAAATATATTTTTTTTCACCATCAATTTCATAGCCTGTATTGTGATTTTACAAGTTTTATCTTATTATTGCTACTGAATGAGTTTACTTCACTGACATCTTTTATGAAATATAGTTAGCTCATAGAGTTGAAAGTTTAAATCAGTTTAATTTTAAATTTTAATTTTTTAAACTTTTTTTAGGGAATTATCAAAAAAAATTTTAGTGAAATTTAAGAAGAAAAAGTGAAACACACGGGTAAAAGTGGTGAATGTTTTATTTGTTTTCATTAGTGATATACTATGAAATCATACTTATGAAGGGTCTAGTTCCAAAAATTTCACGGGGAGGTTAGTTTTGATGATGTCTGAGGTTAAAAAAAAGCTTAGCAAGCATTCGATTTACGTTTTCAGTGCGTAAGTCTGGCCATAAAAATCAAGCGCACGGATGATATTGCTTTCTTCGGTGTTTAGAGAAAAAATATTGTTAGAGTTTTGATGAGGATGTATAATTCATAGTGAATTTGAAATGATGAAAGTTCTCTGAAAGGACAATTTCAAGGGGTTGGATTTACTCATGCGGGATAATAATGGGACTGGAGTCTTCAAGCGGAAATCGGTTAGTGAGGGGGCAAAAGATGAACATTTGTCTCACTGTATCATTTTTACCGAGAATGCCATGAAGGTTAGTTTACTTATGCAAGATGTGAAATTTAGTAATTAAGCTAATATATATTTAGAGTTGTGGCATGAAGCGGTGGTGGACATTGCGAGTTGGTGAACTGTGAAAACAGTGTCGTTGCATAAATTGATAATAAGTTTAAGGGTGAGTGTGAGTTTAGTCTTTAACATAATTCTAAGAAACTAATTAAAATCTCGCTCTTTTGTTAGAAAAATAACCGATAGTGCAAAGTGATCAAGTATACTGTAAAACGCTTTGTGAGTTTTTCTATCCACTTGAGCGTGGTCGTTTATGTGATCGAATTTTTTATTTATGATCATAATGGGTAAAAGAATTGCGATTGGCTTTTTTGTGCAAAGAATCTGTTAAGTGTTTGATTAAAGCCTAATTATGTGAATTGATTTAGGCGGAGTACGTCAGCTAATTCTTTCATAATTGAATCGCTAGCTCATCGTCGTTTGTATTTTTTAGGGGAAATTTTTAGTGGTTAGTGAAATTATAGTCGGATATTCATGAAAGGGTTGGTAGCAGTGATTGTTTATCAACATATTGGTCTTGTTGGACTTGGTTTTCTTCGTTGTAGTAGGTGTACTGGAGTAAAAGGGGAGGTTTTTCTGCAAAGAATGAAGGTGTTTCATTATGACGTAGTTGATGGTATAGGAGTCGGGCTGATGATGGGCGGTTACTGATGAATTGTGGTAAATTATTCGGGAGTTTACATTTCATAAAATTCTTTGTGCTTGTGCGGGGTCAATGTGGACAGAAGGGATGGATGGTTCGGAGGTTGAAAAGGAGCGGGTTAGTGGATGAATAGTTATCAAGTTAGTGGTGTTATGAATCTGTTTCTGTTGATGGGGAGTAGCAAAATTTTCTAAACCATGCTCAAACTGGTCATCTGTGATGGGGCTAGGGACATCGAGTGCATCGAATGAAAGAAGAGAAAGGAAAGGGGTAGAGTCAGTGTCCGAGGAGGCGGAGGCAGAGTTTTCAATAGGGGTGGGGGACTTATCAATTGGAAAAGTGAATGAGAAAATTTAGTGGGACTGGGTTCTGAATCCAAAATATTATAGGGTGTTTCGACGTCTGAGTTATTAAAATTGGAAATTGTATTAAAAACAGGCTGATGTGAGTCATCTGTCTCCATGCGTGGTGAGTTAGGAGAAAAACTGGGTAGAGGGAAGAGCTGAGTTCTGAAAATGTTTTATGAGAATCGTGGCCTTAGAGATTAGATGAATCTGAAAAGGAACGGATCCAAATTGGCGTCTCATCGTCGGCTAAAAAGATGGTTCTTTTGAGAACGAAAACTTTTAGTGTGTGGTTGCTTAACAATTTGTTCATATGCATTATCGGCCGGTGGATGCTTGGCGGAGCGCTATATGAGATGCGGCGCTTTGTTGTATGTTTATACATGTAACACTCGTTCGGTGGTAAAAATTTCTATAATCTGTGGGATTTTTGATAGAGGGTGGTCATTTTGTAAACTGTGTAAATGTGATGGTGCTGTAGGTGTAGTAATCGTATTGTCTTGTGGAGTATCGTATGCTTTTGTTTGTCGCACCAGATGAGTTTAAGTTTGGGGTGGCTCACTCAGTGAGTAATTTCAGATAAGAAACACCGTTTGTTCGTCACGCTATCTTTCTTTCGGCCGGATAGTTTTGTGCAACTTTTTAGTCTAATACCAATCTTAATCTTACTCTTATATCTCCTAATCTTAATACATCTATTGTGTACTGATATTTGCCCAGCTTGGAATCAAGAACTGTTCTGAGGAGGAGCAACTGTTTGCTAAGTTAAATTTCTTATCTTCTGGCTGAAACAAAAAGTTCCAGCCTTACAAATTATTGTAAGTTAGTTATGGATCATGGTTGGTTAGTTCTAAGTATTTTACAGAGATATTTTATCAAGAATAAAACAGGATAAAATAAATACTTGTTTTGAACTGGTTCGAATTATGGTCATACCCCTGAAAGGGTAACACAAGTAACTTTTGAAAATTTTACGCCTGATCTCTGATAATGTCCAATCTTTTTTTCTTTTTTTTAAAGTTTCAAAAACATTTCACTTTAGATCAACAGGCAGTCGGAACATACATTCAGCGCCTTGCCCTGATACACGAGCAGTCTTGTTTGGGTACAAGAACTGTTCTTTTTCTTCAGTTTCATAGTGACATGATTACATCAGTTTTTTTTTTGATTGTTTCGGTGATGGGTTGGAAAGATGCTATGTCGTAGTCAACTGCATATCAAGCAATCAGCAAAGCAGCATACAAAGCTTTAGAAACAAAGAGGTTGCAAAAACTTTGACTAGACAGAAAATGCAAGATTAAGGGCGCAGAGGAATGCTCTGGGCATCAGAACAGAATGGATCTGATGCTTGGAATAAATGTCGAGAAACTTTTATCTCTCAGTTTTTAAATCAAAGCTCTCAGAAGCAGCTCCCATCACTAGCATTAACTAAAAAAAACTTGGTTGAACACACTGAAATTGATTGAAGTAAATTATTTTTTTTTGAAAACAATTTTTGTAACAGAACAGCTAGTTAAAATTAGTTAGTTGGTCAAAATTTTCCAAAAAGAAACCTGAAAACATCTTTTATGGCCTGCTTTTTTAAAATTCCGACTGCGCCGCAGAAAATCTGGCCCTGACAGGGTCTTTTTGCTGCTTTGCAGAGCTCAGAAAATCAATTTGGTCGACCTAATAAAAAGGTCGACAAAGTTTTCAACTTTTTTTTCAAAACCAGCTTCCCTCGAAAAAATCTTAGATCCGCCCCTGATTATAATAAGTATCGCAATACTATTATAAAAAAATAAAATAACGACCAATTCTAGGAACGAAAATGAATAATTTCAAAAAAGTTGCTGAATAAAATAACGAGATAACATGCTCAAGTTTTCTCAAAACAATTTTTTCCAACTACTTTGTCTGGGCCAATTTTTTCGGGAAAATCAGTTCGCTCGGGCAGTTCGTAGAATCAAGAGGATCTTCCTGAAAAAATCATTGAAAATATGGGCAACTTGCCACCTAGCAAAAAATACTGCATCTGCCTCTGATATTGCTTAGCTTGATTTGTTACGTTTTAGCCAATGAAATTACTATAGAGGCGGCCGACTTCACTATTCCAAACCCATGGAGAAGATTCTATCCGGTTTCTCAAATATTCTTACCACCAGGGTCAGTCTCATTTTAGCTGATAAAAATATCGTCACGTTGCAAAATAATAGAAATGAAAATGTTTGCTGTGCTTATATTGAAAAGTTATAAAAAAAAAGTTATATATGTTGCCCTTCCTAATTTATACAGGATCAATAATTTTGAAAACACTTCCTGCCCAACTGCAGAGCTTCTGTCATTTTGAATAACACTTTTGATTTCATTTTACTTCACAACTGATGTTTTCAGATAATTCCAAATGCCTTCAAATCATGTCAACTTTAATCCCCCTTTCAATAAAAATCAAACCCACTCTCAAAAAAATTGAACTCTATTGCTAGCAAACTCAGAATCGGAAGTTGTTAGGTTTGAGATGAAATTCCCGCTCACAAAAGACTTAGCACTGCTCAAAACAGGACGCGCCATCTCGTACATGGATAAACTCTCCCTCCCCCTCTGCAACAAAGTAGACGCGCATCCTTTCGCCGACCTCACTTACACAATGTTCGCCGCCTGTGGACTGGGACTGACAAGCACATCAAAGGAGAAAGTGGAATTCCCGGACACTCTTCAGGAGACTTTGTTCCATAACGCCCTGTTTACCAGTTCGGATCCATTTGTAATGGTGCCTTGCAGGTCAGAGTTATCAAAAAAGCTAGTGGTACAAGTATGATAGATGGGTCTCAAGAAAAAGCAAGTAAATATTTGGGTCCCAAGAAAAAGCAAGTAGGAAAGAAGGATCCCTCATTTTTTGTGAAAACTTCAAAAACACAAGTGAACAAATGCGAACCATGTGTTCGAAAATTTTAAGGCCTAAAAATTTTCTTCAGGAACCCGTCTTAATTTTTGGCAACCAACTATCATACTTGTACCAGGCTAGTAAGAAATTCATTTTGATTCTAACAAATTTGCGTAATTTGGGGCAAATGGAATTTTGATAATGTTCTTAACCTGTTCTAGAATATTAGGCTAATTGTTGTGATAAACTTATTAAATAGTTTCAGAGAAGAAACATTGAAACGGATGCTAATTTCAACATAAGCAGTAACACAAATAAGCATCCATCAGAATTGCCTGGTCTGCGGTTTCACGACCAAACACCAATTTTGGCTCCGAGGACGAAAAGATCCAAAGTAACGATGAGCCCATGTGCTGAAGAAATTGAGCAGGATTTTCACGTAGAAGGTTTTTTGTCTGAAAAAGTCCATGAGACGATAAGCACATCAATTGAACTTCTGATTCCAAATTTTTATGGAGAAACTGAAGGATCAACTGCAGAGTATTTTAAGTGTTGCCCTTGAAACGGCCGAGAAGAATCTATAAAGCGAGATATAACAGACTGCCAAAACTCAACTTTCTGTGCAATTAAACGTCCATAACCTGAAAATGCTTTAAGATTGCGAAAAGCTGGAGAACTATGATCGAGGACACAATCTCCTCATCGTTGAAGACCATGAAAAGCATGAAGATATGGAAGGAACGCTGGCGAAAATTATTGAAATCTTAAGTGAAATCGGTGGAAATACATCAATAGCTCATAGATTGACATCAATCTCCCCAAGAGGGAAGCCGATCATTCTTCGCTTTTCGAAAAAAAATTCGAAAACTAAAAATGCTGCTCCATTCCTGAGCCATTCCCTGCAATAAAAGAAAATCATAGTAATTCTGTTATTAGTATTATGCCAACTAAAGTTCGCTCACTCAAAAAGCACCAGGAGGAATTGGATGCCTTAGTATATAATCTGGAGTCTCCACCGAAAATTTTATGCATCACAGAGACATGGCTGAGTGGTAAAAGTGATAATAAGGACATGTAATAAGGACATGTTTGTAATAAAGTTAAATGAAAATTTTAACTTTATTGAGCTTATAACTATCAACCTTGACGAATCATTGGGCTTGCAGATTGAAATCTACGGTATGTGACCAAATGTCGTAGTAATTTATCTGCCTTCCATGGTACATAATTTAAATTTATAGAAGAAGTAGATCATGGTGGAACCAGATCCAAACTATATTTTTATTATTGGTAATAAATTGGATATTTTATCACTATAAAATATTTAATATTAACCAATCATGATCCATATAACTAAGAATCCACTTATTTGTAAGTGCTTAAAATTACTTGTAATTTCAGCACCAGAGAGATTTGAATTTAACTTAAAAAATTAGTTACCTCTCCAAGAGACCTTCTAGCAATCGCAACAAGCCAGTATACTCTAGATCTATTGAGCCTAGCAGAGACTAGTTAAACACCCTGAGACTAGTAGATTTAAGACTAAGATTAGGATCGGTATTAGACTAAGAAGTTGCACGAATCTATCCGGCCGAAAAAAAGATAGCGTGACGAGCAGACGGTGTACCCTATCCGAAATTGCTCTATGAGTTACACTTCGGTCTTAACTAACCTGGTGCAACCATAAGTCTCGAACAAGACCTTAAAAAACAAATTAGCTTAGAACTAACAAGATCCGAAATGTTACATGATAACAATTTAATTGAAATGTCTCTACGACTCAATAGATCAGAGCCGCTATTCCTTACAATACTAGAACTACCAGAAATCGGAAGAAGACCTTGGACAAGAGACGATCTACGACTACGAAGAAACTTACCATTAAATTTAATTGTCGTACGGCGAAAGCCAGAACAAACATTTATATTTAGAATTTTACTAGCAATGAACTTAGATTATCTTTTGCAAACATAAAACCTTGAAGACAAATCTTCAAAGATTATTTCAGGCGCTATACAAAATTTACTATTGTACAATAACGATTGATAAAAACATCTCAAATTGTTTCCTCCAAATCTGCAGTATAATTCAAAAAGATATCTGAAAAATAATTTATTTAAAGGAAAATAAAAATTAGTTAACATTATCATAAATTATTAGTATATACAAATCATCGTGTCATCTCAGCTTCATCACCTAAACATAATAGCAATCATAAAACTACTAAAATCATTAAAAACTAAACTTTTCTATCAAATAAAATCTAGAATTATTTTAAAAAAAGGCTTATCCCAAACTTAATCTATATTTCACTTAAATTTTTCTACATCTTAAATACAGATCATCAAAGCTTTCCTTGGATCTCTTAAATATCTAATTTAATTCATTTTGTACTATTAAAATTTATACCTGATCATCAAGGCTTATCCTTGGATGAAATAGAACAATTTTGTTCTCACCCACCCTATTAATAAAGTGTCTAACGACCTCAAACGTCGATTCACTATCCAACCCTTTCAAAGACCCAGGACAAATAGAATTTTTTCAAATAACTCTAACCATTCTAATTAGGCTAAACAGTGAAGAACTTCGGTTATTCATCCTTCACTTGACCCCCCTCTTACCTGACCCAGGTTAAATCTTAAATCTTAGTAAGATTAAAATAGTATCTAACAAACTACTTAAATCTTAGTAAGATTAAAATAGTATCTAACAAACTACAAACTACGTTCTAATTATACCTGAACCCTGTAGATCAATTTACTATTCTTCAACTCTTGAAAACAATCACTACCCCTAAGTAAGATTAAGTAATTTAACACCTTAACTTAGAATAGTCACGAGAAAGTAACAGTCATTCTCCGGAATCGATATACTTTTCTCTCCAACCCTAAATAAAAAGACTCATGTTAGGCTAACCAAAAAATCGTAAGGACTAACAGTCTAGGATATTATATTCACTAATAAAAACCTTGCATCCTTCATCCTAAACCTTATGTCACTGAACAATTTAGGAAATAAACAAACAATCGTACTACACAATTGCGAAATAAATGACGAAATATACGATCTCGTAATCACACCATACAAACAAACAATTAGATATATTCGAACAAAACGACAAACAATAAAAAGAAAAATTATAAGCAAACAAAGACAAATTATACGTAAAAGGTTTTCAAAGCGAAGAAACGCAGTCTCCGAATCAGAAGTCAGTAATTTAGATGCACTTTGCAAACTAAAAGAAACAGTTAACAAAAACTACCCAGTTCAATACCAATTATATTTTCCGGTTCAGAAGCCACATCACATTCATCAAAACAAGGAAAAAGAAGAATAAAAAGATATACAAAACTAAACCAGTACGTTTATACAATTGGAATCAACCAATCAGACACATTGAACACTACGCAGGGACAGTTATAAAATGAAAAAATGAGCCAAAGTCCAAGTTATGAAAGTCCAGACGAAAACTCGGTTTTCTCTTTTATCATAAATTCAATCACTGAAGATAGAGGACAAAAACAATTCTGTACTAATTTAATTGCAAATGTATTCAAACAAGGAATTAGCCCATGTAAAGCAGAATTCCCAGAAGTAAAAAGCAAAAGACAAATTATCGACCATTATTTAAAAGGAATATGTAACCCAACACAACCATATGGAATCTACACCATAGAATTCAGCACAGAAAGTCAACATCATAGCAAACATGTTATTCAAACAGATGATGTCGACATAGAATTTTCACAGAATACATCAAAACCATACAACACCAAAATTCACAGAGAGCAAATTCAATATTCACTAACGATGTTTTTTCACTAATATAAAGTTATATATCTATACTAGAACATATAAGAACTGACAGTACATCACCAGTACAAACATCAAGACACACAAAAGTCAGAAATGAAATTGCCACTTTTCAACATTTTTAAACACAACCCGTGTAAATTTTACAAGCAACGATATTTCACAAAATGTTTAACATGATTTACAAAAGCATGGTTCATTATTGATTATTTTGCACATAATATTGATTTAATTGCACAAGCAAAAAAAATTTTAGACCTCAAAGTACCAATGACGACAATGTCATTGCAGAACAATCAGACTATATTTGGGACCCTGAATGGTCTCATCCATTATTTTTGAACATACCAATAGACATCTCAAGTCAAGCAATCAGTACAATTTCTCTTCACAAAGACTATGTAGAGTTATTTCCACTTACAATAGATGCAAAACCTTTAAACTATAATTCATTTTTACCTGATAGAAGACAAAATAATAGCTCAAATTCACCCCTTGTACAACAAAAAAATTAGAATAGAACTAGAAATTTTATACAACAAGATATTCAAACACCATCACAATTTGTAAATGAAACGGTAGTTGAAACAATAGTAACAACTACACAACAAAGTATTTCACCAATATATCCAAACCTTACAGCACCAAAACCTAAAAATCAAAAAATACCACAAGTAACGACGGTTAAACCCTCGGTTGCTCCAAAAAATTTACATATGGATTATCAAACATACAGACCTATGACAAAACCTACACACAGACAAAGAACATTTACTAGAAGTAATTTCGCAGAACACAATTATAATTATGTACATTCATCGAAACTAACTCATCCTCCCCGTATACAAAAGCAAAATCTTCTATTTTCACAAAAGTTGATTTTTCCCATGACATCCACAAATTCAGCAAATTTTCATGACTATCCACATCCCTCTCAAGATCACAGTGAAAATTATCCATTTTTTCATTAAACTAGAAATAAACAACTAACACCATATCACACATCAAACTATTTATCATCAGACGATGACGATTATTATCAACTAGGTATTTTTGCACCATACACATAAGATTAACGTAC